CAATTATGTTCTTGATATTCGAGAGACTCTGGTGGAAACCATGACATTTCCATGAGATAATGTTGGCCATTCTGAAAATTTATTTCTCTGATGTTGCTTCTTTGTTAGACAAGGAAGGAGAGTTTTTGGAAGTTTCAGTCCAGCTTCAACTTGCATATCATCAAAGTCAGAGCTCACACTTTCGAGTGAACTGTCACTTCGATTCCTATGCTTAACAATAAATGTTTTGGATTGTTTCACTGCTTTTGTTTGACTAGATGATGTGGGATTATTTTCTACTGATTTGTTCTTGGTATTTATTATGCCTGTTGTTTTGTTTTGAGAAGCGCTAGGTTTTGTTAGTTTGTTCTTTCCTGCATTATATTACTGTTATTTTAGAGGCTTTTTCTAGTTTATTATTTGTCTTTTTACATGGATTGCTTTAGTTTGGACGCCAACTGTTTTGAATTGTTTTGCAGCATCAGCATATGAAAGGTTTAAATGTGGCTGTGTACTACACATAATTCTCCTAGCTTCTGCATATGTTATGTTTTTGGTCATCTTCAGGAACTGTACTTCCTTCTCAGCTTTCCATTTAGGACAACAGCGAAAGAATGCTGCGTTCTCCCCTTTACAACTGACACACAGTGGCACAGCATTGCAATTATCACTGTCATGGTCCTTTACGGAGCAGTGAGCACACGTGGGTTTGCCTCAACAGGACATTTTTGAGTGGCCAAAGCACTGGCCACTGGAATGTAAGGTCTAACTGGGGTCTGTAAGGATGTAATGGATCTTCCTGGGCAATGAAGATACCTGGCATTTACACTTTTTTGGCAAATCAGGCATGTTGAAGGTCAGGATATCGTTTTGGGTATTTACCACTGGACCATCTTTGCGCATCTTGATTCGCTTAGCAGCACAGACATTTTGGGCAGAGAGCTCAGTTACAAATTCTTCCTCCAAGACGTCCCAGCAGATCAAATTCAGACATTATTCTGCGAATATAGTTAAGGGTTTTACAAGCTGAGGCCTCTATCATGACAGCTCCTAGTTTCTTTAAAGCGGATAAGGTTCAATTAGAAGATCACCCGAGCAAAGTCGCTTGATGTTTTTGGGCTCACCAGCACAGGAATGCATAAGTTTATGTATATAAATGTGACATTTTTTAAATTTTGCCTGTTGTGTTAGTCAGAACTACAAATGAGGCAATGATTTTATTTCTTGAGAATTTTACATTTTTACATTTGTTTTTAATTTTTTGTTTAAAATTGAAACATTTTCAGATGAATTATGTTGGTTTAAGGTTTCCATATCAAAAGGCAAAATGATTCAGACCTGGCAGCCCCGCCCACCATGGAGTCCAACAAGGGGATGCAGAAAACTGCACCAGGGTTAACCGGGTTTATACGCAATCTGAAGCCCCCACAGTCAGCTCTCCCGAAAGCAGGAACTCCCAAAAGCTTATCTCCAACTGCCCTTAAGGACAAGTGACCAGCCGATTGACACTAGCAGGGACAACCAAGTGCTTTCAGCCACTTTCTCACTTTCAGCCTGAGCCTCTGAAAAGGAAAACCACAAGGGTGGAAGAAATAGAAATAGCACAGAGAAGGAGAGGTGAAAAGGAAAGGAGGAAAGATCACTAAGGGCTCCAGGGCTAGGGTACCTCGGGATTGCCACACCTATACTCACAGAAAGTGAGCCCCTGAGGGGCATGAAACATGGAGAAAAGCATGAAAAGTAGCCATACAATCAGCCTATTTGCATGAATTCCATAGTTTAACTACCAGCACTCAAAGCACTCAGCAATTTTAACCACTTGGTTACTGGTGGGGAAAGAGAAACACAAATTAGAAATTACAGAATTATAAATAAAATTTTTTTTTTATTGTATGTGTACAACATGTAAGTTTATGAAAGTACTTTGCATCAAAGCAATAGTCAATATCTGAAATATCGTCTCCTTGAATGCTTCAATAAAGCTTTCCTAGAATATCCCTATTTGAAGATTTTGTTATTATGGCCACTTTTACAAAGCAAATGCTTAATTTACACAGCAAAAGATAAAAAAATGTTGAAATGATTAACTTGAAGCATTATAGAAGTTTTTAATGTAATAAAGCAACATTATATGGATGACAGAAGAAAGATGACTATTTTACTTTCATAGCATTTCTGAGAAGTAGAAAGAATACTGCCAAAATATTAAAATAACTAAAGACTACATGCCTTTACACTCAAAGCAGAACTTTAATAACAATGCGGTATATTTGTTAATCCAGTGAATAATAATAATTAAGTCTGCTGGATACTTTAGTAAAAGAAATAAAAACTTTAGTCATATTTCTTAAAATCCACGAGAAATAAAAATTCTGAATACTGGGATAAGTAAATAATTATTGGCAATGATGAATTAAACAAGTTGAAGACCAGAATTAACTTCAAAACGTGAACTTAATTTCAATGATAGAACATAGCAGAATTAACCAGTTATTTCTAATTTCAGGCTTTACTATAATTTCTCCTTTCTTTTTGTTCACCAGAATGCAAATCAGGAAGTATTTAAACAAAGGTTTTTGATCTGTAAGATAGAGCATGTTTCCGCCTCTTGAGGCCACATTACTCTGCAGCTCTGACTCTCTCTGTTCTGAGCTTTGTGTTATAACTGCCAGCACTTAAATTGTAATGGTGGTTAAAGTTTTGAGCCAACTTAAAATGAAATTCAACTGTGTTGACTTCAACTACTAGACTCAGTTTAAATTTTGAGTCTGACTACATTAGTTGCAATTGTCAGAAGGATGATAGTGTAAGCACGATATGTGCATTTATATAAAAGTTCTGTTTTAATAAAAAGGTTATTTTAACTTTTCAAGGTCTCTATAGTTAATTCAGACACAGTGATAATCTGCTCTAGATCTGTTAAGAGAGTGGAACTAGTTTATGCTCCTAAAGCAAGCCAAACTCTACAAAATATACGTCACCAACTGAAAAGGTACGATTTTACTGACCTTGTAAAATGTTAGCACAAATATGTTGCTAGTTCAAAATGGAATTAAAAATTATCAGCACAAAATTTAACCTTCAAAATAATTTTAAATTCTGCTTAAGTAATGGCCTTAAGCATAAGCATTCTGCTATTAAAGTGTGCCTCTAGTGGCTGCATAACTGCCTTTAAATATTAGAAACAGCTTCTCAAAACCCACACTTGCAGACTTTCAAATATACTTAGGAAAATTTTGAATATACAATTCAAAAATAAAAGTTTAAATAAAATAAGAGCTAAAATAAGTAGTATAAGGTAAATCGGAGGGGGGGGGGAAATCAGGCCACAAGTTAGAAACTCGTAAGAAAAAGATTAAACTCCATTTTTAAAGTAAATAGTAATCAAACAAAACACCAGAATTTTTTTTTTAATTTCATAAAATAGTAAGTGCGAGATTATTTCTGCAGCATCTTTTTCTCTTCATGCAAATATCAGTTGAGCTATTTATTTCAATTACAGAAAAAATATCACTCACTCAGATGGATGATAGTGTAAGCACTCACTCACTCACTCACGCACGCAAAAAAAAATTAATACCTGAAATAAAATAATATTTTTATACGAGGGCAATCCCCAAAAAAAGGTCTATATATTTTTAGATATACAAAGAACCGTTTATTTTCTATAAATTGCAACATCACTTTAAAGATTGAAGAATGCTTTATTTTTCAACATAATCGCCATTTCGGTCGATGCATTTTTGTAGACGCTGTGGCAGTTTTACAATGCCCATGTCATACCAGCTTGCCGCCATGCCCTTCAGGAAGCGTCAATCGAGTCCAAGAAGTTGTCCTTTTCGTCTCCATAGTGGCGAAGAGATTCGCGGGAAGAATCAACCCGTTGCCGTTTGTGGTCTTCTGTCAGCATATATGGCACCCACCTTGCACACACCTTCCAATATTGCAACTTTTCCGTTAAAATCCTGTGGATGGTGCTTCTGGAAACCTCAGGAACCAAAATGCAGAGAGCATCCAGAGTGATCCTCCGATCTTTACGCATGAGTTCCTCAACTTTTGCGATTGTCTCGTCGGCAATTGACGGCCTCCCGCTCCTTTCTTCGTCATGAATTTCAGTAGGACCGGCTGTAAACTCTCTACACCACTTGCGAACGTTTTTGACATCCATGCACGACTGTCCATACACTTCCGTCAATAGGCGGTGAATTTCAAACGGTTTAAACCTTTTGCATTCAAAAATCGAATAACTGTGCACACTCCGCGGCAACGTTTATCGGGAGCTCCATTTCGAATGGCTGCCAAGCCAAGACTGAGCATCCTAGCGAAGCGCCTGCGTGCTTATGTGGTAGCGGAGAAGGCACCACTCATAACAATGTTGCCAACAACCGTATTAAAACTTTCTGTACGTCCCCAAAAAATAGGAGACCTTTTTTTTGGGATTGCCCTCGTAGTTTGTTTGACCCATTTATATTCTTGCCATCATTTTCAGAGACAAAAGGTGTCTGAGCACTTCACAGAAATACTTGTTTTTTCCTCCCGAATGGCAGGCACTTGCCTTTTTTCAGCATTGACCACCCCTTAGGCCAAAAGTAGTAGCTATTTTATTGTGGAAACACATAATAGGTGGCCACCATTACCTCCTATGAGCGGACAGACAATTTACATCCATATCTTCTCCGGGCCCTTTGGTATCGCAGTTGGCTTCCCTAACCACTATACCGTCTGGGTAGCTTAGTTCTGGGAAATACTTTACCTTACAAGAACTTATGAAAACTGCCTACATTATGCTTAAAAGTATTGTGAGTTAATGATTAATAGCAAAAATTCCAAGAATTTAAAAAAGAGTTAAACAAATACACTTATTGTAACAATAAAAAGAAAAAATTCATAAATGGATATTTAAGATACATACCCAGCAGTTTTTATCTGACTCCACCATCTGAAGCTATTAAAAACCCTGAGTTTCCCATTTCCAGCAAGAGGCATTAATATATCTTGTTCTAATCTGATACAATCTTTTCCACTTCCTGTTATATCCAGCGGTTCATCGCTTAAAAAAAAAAAAAAAAAAAAAGAGCATCATAATCCAGTAATCAGTATGAATTAAAATTTGTAGAGCCCTTCCTACCTTTGATAAAATTCATCTAGTTCTGGTATTTTTACTTTCATTTAAAAAAATCCCAAATGAGAGCAAAAATATACTGTGAAAATTTTATATAAAATGTTTAAAAAATACATTATAAGCTGGAATTATTTTTTTAAGCTGTATATTTTAAAATTTTACCAAAATTGACTTTTTAAAATTTATGATGATTTTTTTGAATGATATAAGTGGTAAATCCATAATTAGGATACTTTGATAATCATACATACATAAAAACTTAATAAGGGTGTGAGTTTTTTTATTCAAAAATTAAAAAAAATCATAAACATAAGCAAGAAAAATCTACCTAGTCCATTTAAAAAGACTATCCATTTTCAGTGACTACAGTTCATTAGAAACAAAAACCTTTCCTTCTTACAAGTGCATTTACATAAAATTTTTGCAAGAAACACCAATTCAAAATCTTTCTATGTAGCACATTTCTTCTTTTCTTATGAACATGTCTCTTATTAATCTCAATAATAAAATAAATAATTAAATTAGTAGGAGAAAAAGAAAGCAAAATGCAACTTTCTCATCTTTAATTTCAAAATTAAGATTTAATCATTTATGATTTTTTAGTAATTTACTAAGTGAAATTTATTTATTCCAAGCCTGTCAATTAAATGAATTATTAACTCAGAACTACTTCAAGCTGTTATTACTAAATAGTCCTAATTTTTGAGAACAAAAAATATCCAGCTTGAAGTATAATTCGTTATAGCATAACAAGAGAAATTTCTGGTTTAGTGCAGGCTTTTTCACCTGCCATAACATTAAACCTATGTGATATACACACTAATAGGCAAAAAGTAAGCAATAAATTCATTTTTAGCATACAACCATAAAATTGTTGAAAAGAAATTTTTAGGATCAGTACAATGAAAAGCTAACTCAGCAGAAAGGTGATGCATATACAAACCTCAGCACCATGATATTACAGGGTATGTCAGTATATATACAAAGCATGAGAAGTCGGCAGAGTGCAGGGCAACTTAAAAAGAAGAAAGGAAGGTGTGTTTCCATGCAATCTTCTACAAATGAAAGAGAGGCTGTATGTGCAGTATGGTTACAAGAAATCACAAGGACACCTTTATACTAGGTAGAATGATTGGCAAGCTTAAAGAAGAGAATAATTTTACATGTCTAGTTAAAGAGTTTGGAACTGATAAAAGTATTATTTGACAAGCTTGGAAAGCCTCCCAAATGACAGGTACAGCTGTAGGAAAGGTTGATGCTGGCTAGCCAATGAAAACATCAGTGACTGATGACAAATATCATCCTGCAGGTAAAAAAAGAGATCAAACTAGACAGCAGACAACATTGCTCAGCAGCTGCAAATGGCAAAGAGACAACATGTGCCACCATTTACAGTGGCCAGACAACTTCACAAAGGTAGCCTATTTGCCCAGTGTTCTAAAAACTACATACCGCTGACAGCAGCCCTTTGGCAGCACCCCTTACAGAAGTGTAAAGAAGACAAAGAGTGGACACTTCATCACTGGAGTTATGCCCTCTTTACCAAAGAAAGTTGTTTCAATCTGACAAATGATTCTCGGTGCCAGTTGATATGGAGAGAGGTAGAAACATGTTTTCATCCCACTAACATCAGGGAAAGAGACCACTGGGGTGGCCCTCGCATGCTTGTAGGGAGAGCTGTTATAATGAAAAGATGGATGGAGCTTCACACTTTTGAAAGAGGCTCAATTACCGGAGATTGTTACTGTGAAGAATTATCTTCCCCAAGGCGCATCTTTTTTGGAATGTCTGTCATTGGATCTTGATTTTGTTTTTTATGGATGACAATGCATGACCACACAGGACTCATGTTGTGGAGATCCTGGAAAGTGAGGATATCAATGAAATGGATTGGCAAGCATGTTCCATTGATTTAAATCCCATTGACTATGTGTGGGATACTTTAAGGAGATGCCTGGCAGCACCATCTTACCTTTCAGAGAACATCAAACAAATGAAATAGATGCTCCTTGAAAAATGGGATTGGTTTGGTTTATTTAATTATCATTAAGCACTTGGGGACTACCTGCCTATGAGAGGAGGGATGCCTTTTGTGGAGTATTTTCTAAGAAAAACTGGCTCACATACACATGACAAAAACCATGAAAATGTTCATGCACTCAACCTGTTCATTGGGATTTGACCCCCGGATCGAACTACAAGTGTTCAGCGACTTAACAGCTCAGCCACTGTGGGCCACCAAGAATTATAGACTATCTGGTGGTGAGTATGACAGATGGTATAACACAATCATTGCAGTTAGGGGAGGTAATATCCCTTACTAAGGCTTTTTGGTTTGTTGCTCTCCCTTTTTTCCAGACAGTTTTTTGTACAAATGTCATTCTATCGATAGAGTCTTTTTCTATTTGTTCGGTACTTGGGGGCATTTGACCTACACTTTTTTTGTTACTATACTTTCCTTATCCTTTAAGTACTATATTGTGCCTCTGTATATGAATTTAATGTTGTCTAGTTAACATTTTTGCAGAACAACAGCCCAAATCAGGAAAGTTGCTAACATTTATACTTATATTGTGTACTGGGGCATTCGAAAAGTTCTGCTGTTTTTTTATATTCAGCTGTGCTTTCTGCTTATTATGGTACTACTGACAAGGAGTAACCTAGATGGAAGCAGATGTTTAAATAGCAACTCTTCTGCTCACACTGAATAATTCTAATATGTGTTACAATGCAATTTTTCTTTCAGCACGTGTTAAGAATAGAGAATCCAAAAACTAATTTTATAATATTTTGCTCTTTTATTAAAAAAACATACATACTAATCAGAGTCTTCATAAAATTTGTACTGTTTATGGAAACTACTGCTTCAGATGACACAATTCGATGGTGGTTTTGAGAATTTAAGCGTGGCAATTTTTACCTCAAAGGTGGTGCTTACTCAGGATGACCATCCTCTGTAAATATGGACCTATTAAAAGAAGCTATGGTTTAAAATAAGTTTTATACTGTTCAGGAACTATCAGACAATCCAAATGTTCCAAAACCTTCTGTAGATGATCATTTGAAAAAGATTAGGTATATAAGCCACTATGATGTATGGGTATCCCACATTTTACCACAGCAAAATATACCTGCCCAAACTCGTTTTTTGAAATGGCTCATTATCACAGATGAAATGTATGGAATAAATGTTACATGAAAAACATGATGGAATAGTCAGAAAAGCTTCCTTCAGTAACATCCAGAGGGAGCTCTGAACCAAAAATGGTAATGTTTTGAATATGATGCGATTACAAAGGAATTGTATACTATAAATTACTGCTACCAAATCAGACAAAATCATAAAAATACTGTTCCCAAATGACACTTTTAAAACCAGAAATTTAAGCAGTGCGCCCAGAACTGACCAATCATTGAGGTTGTACCTTCCATCCTGACAATGCCTGGCTTCAATGAATGTAATAAAATAAAATGAATACTGTGTATGGCTGAGATGTTTTGTGTCACTCCCTCCATATTCACCAGACCTTGCCCATTGGATTTCATCTCTTTAGGCTATTCCAAAATTCCTAAACTATCTGGAAATAACTTCTTTGGACACTGTCTCAAAGAGTACCTCAATAATTTCTTTCAAATAAATAAACTATAAAAAAAGGAATTTACCAGCTGCTGAAGAGACGCCAAAAAGTCATAGAAAAAATGGTGCTCATGTAATTCAATCAAATTTTTGCTACTAATTATACACATCCCCTCTCCTGAAAAATCGGCAACTAATTTTTCACCAAGCTAAGACGTGAAAAATAACATCTGTTTTAGAAATGGTGATGCTTTAAGAAAAAGCAATTAACAAAATAAAAAATGCAAAAATATCCATAATAAAATACTTGTTCTCCCCATGCACGCATTGATCTGTTTTAGCTTCAGAAAACGCCACAAAATTATATTCATTCAGCAATGTGCAAAAATTTCTACTGTTTAAGAAGTACAACTTCATGAAATAGGAACATTGCATTTTCTGCCGTTGGGCAAAATGCCATTTTTCAGAAGAAATGCAATGCTTTCTTTTTTAATCAACTGGGAAACTCCATAGTCCCATTACAATTCCTTACAAGGAAAAAAATTGCACTTTAATGCAGCAAAATGAAACAGTAATCAGAATGACTTTCAAATTTGAAGCTGGAAAACAGCTCTCGTCTGCTGCATGTGCATACCTAGGTTGTTACATAAATACGTTTTGGTGACTTAGACAATGAAAAAGAACTTTCTGGATGACTCAATACCCATACCATTAATAAATTAAGCAGGGAAAGCTGATTTGACCCCACAATACAAGGATTCACAGAAACTTTCATATTATCTTACATTTTTACTCTGTTTTCTTTATTTAAACACTGAATCAAGCATATGTGAGTCTCACTCTCTTTGCAGATGAGTCCTAATTCAGCCTAATGATTGAGTCTTGAAGTATTTTCATCTAAAGAGAACCAGAGATCCATCACTTCTCATCTGAGAAAGAGAGCAGTATGGCAGCATAGATTTGATCATGTGGGCAGGCAAGATGTTGGACACACAAACCTTCAAGCCTTTCACAGAGTTTGTGATAGCTGTGAGGCCACAGGGACTCATTTCCAAATCACTTTATGAGAGATATATGACTGTTACAGTGGACCATATCCCTATAAATTTTACGCACAACATGTTTGTACCAAGACAGTTGTAGTTTAGATTATTTATTATTATTATTATTATTATATATATATATATATCTACAACTGACTGTTCCAGAGATAAGGGAACAAATGTTAAAATTCTCTCAAACTAGCCTTTGCTTCAGACTAAGGGATAACTCGCTTCCAGTCTAAGAGGCTCTGCAAGGCATTAACAGAAGCTTTTTGACAGAGTAGAAACTTGCATACCTCGAGACTGATGTGCATAGTTCAATGAAGTCACATTCCTAAAAGTTTCGATATCTGCATACTGCACTCAACAAAGAGCAAGCTTCATATACCTAGTTCAATGTGAAAATATTCATTTCATGCTTTTGCTTGAGGCAGGAGAGTGCAGCTTAATGAAATAATAAACTGAAAGGAACACAAGAGTTGTATTTAAAAATGTATACATATAATAGTATTACGAATTTTTATTTTAAAACAAAACTATCCCAATATTATTTCCGCACAATATGCTGCTGAAAAATTAATCAATTGTAGACAAAATGTACAGAATTTAGAACCAAATTCACAAAGGCATCAAAGAAATAAAATTCAATATCAATAAAATCCAAAATATCAACAAACTATCACCAAACCAGAATTCCAGACTACTACAGATATGTGAAATACAAAAATTACGAAATATAGGAACAAGGAATGCAATCAAAATCTGATTCATTTAGATCCCCCCAGGAAAAACAGCATGTTTCTGTTCATCCAAAATTGGCTGATGATCCATTCCAAGTTATTTAATTATGATAGTTTACCTGAACATTCTGAATGTCTCCCTGATGCAGAGGAATTCCAAAAATTAAATAAAAATATATAAAAACAAATCAACATAAAATTAAGTCACCATCCAATACAGTAAAAGAAAGACACACTTTACTAAAATGGAAACTAAAATTAATATGTAATAATACAAAATATACATAAAAAGTAACAGGGAACATTGATTTCAGAACTTACCATTGAGCAAACAAAGAAAAAAAAAGAAATTCAAAAGTAGATGCCAATGGTAGCCAGTTTGGCGTTATTGGCAAAACAAATTGGTGATGGCAAGCTCGAAATCTCACAAAAGGTGAATTTAAAGCAAGTAATTTTCAATTTCTTAGATTTTGGAAATCATTAAAGTAATGCAAGAAAGGATTAAAAAGAAACAAAGCTTAGAAAAGAATATAATCTTTACATCATGGGCTTATCACAATGAGTTAGAATAAAGTAGGCTCTCTGTTAATAAAAGTATAGTCAAGAAAAATTGTACAGTAATACAAACGATACTATAAAATTCGTTAAAGCATCTTTCTTTATCTTCCTCTATTTGAGCTTTCCGATAAAAAATTCACTATTAAAATAATAATAATAATAAAAAAACTGTACATGGTGTGGACCACTCCAGTTTTTTTAAGTAGACTGTTGATGAAATTAATTGGAATTGCATTTTCTTGTAAAATTTTAGGTGCATGCATTCTTTTTCAGCCAGCAGGGTTGCACGAGAAAATTTGACACATGGCTGCAATATAAAATCGTTTCCTAAAACTGGAATTTCTGTGAATTCTATAATTATAGTGAACTTCAGGTAACCTGACTTCCTGCATTTTCCTGTATTTTTGAGGCCTTTGTCATGTGTTTCGCCTCAATTTAGAGAATGAGTCTACATATAAATATAATTCAGGAGGACATCCTAGAATTTTCATGAATCCAGTAACATTCCTTACATAATTCAAACAGCTTTCTTTGCAGAAATGAGACCTGAAGTAACACAGCCAAAACTAGAGGTAATTAAAAATTCCATACTTATTTAAATCATATTGACTGAGTTCATTGCTATGATATTGTGTATTATATATTTGTTTAACTTTTGCACTTAAGAGTATATTTTGTGTGCAACTGGATTTGTGTCCACACATTTTATACAGAAGTACTTACTGCACAGAAATGTAGATCTTCCAATTTTGAATCCAACAACATTTAAATTGTACACACTATGGGTTGTTATGGTAGCATAAACTAATTCCTGTTCTAGAGCAAATTATTCCTTCATCTAGAAAGAATCATAGAGTCTTGAAAAAGGTTCTAAGACAGCTTTTTTATTAAATCAGAACTGGGACATAAATGCACAACTTATGCTTACAAATCAGCTAACTACTTGTGGCAATGTAACTTAAAGCAACAAAATTCAAACTAGAAACTAAGTCTAGTCGCCAAGGGCTACACAAATTATTTAATGCAAAGTTGGCTCAAACTTCTCATTGGCATAACAATTTCAATGTCAGCAACTATTCTGCAAAGCGAAGTGAAAGTAGAAAACTAACTGTTGGTATTCTACAGATATTATAACTTTATAACAGAAATTATGAACTTAATATTGAAGAGGAAATAAATGGATCCACTTGTTACATGACTGTGGATGTTGGTGCCAATGGTGCTATTTTGAAATCTGATAGAGTGCCGAAAATAGAGTGCAATCTGCTACATATGGCTCTCTTTTGACTCTACATGAGAAAATGAATCTACATATCAGTCTGATTCTGTACATATGAGCACAAAGTCCATATAGTTGATAAAACACCCATGCATGCTAGGACTCAACTTTTTGAAGAAATATAGATTTTGTATAAATATTAAAGATAAGCATTTAAATCATGAGGAATTTTTAACAAAGTAATAAGAATGTTTGGAAGGGGTGAAAATCGAGTGTGTTTCTACAAAATAATTTGCTCATGATAATGTGAATGTAGTAAATAAAAATTGCCCACAACTGCCTACAGATCTAAGTCTATATGGTTTTGTAGTCATCCATTCCAGCAAAACAAATGCATGAAAAAAACTTAATCTGAAATATATCAATGTTCTTTTCATGTTTACAGTTCCAGCAGTGTTTCAATACCTTATTTTTAATGCTCTCTCACCTTGATAAACAAAGAGATTTTAATATCCCAAGTCCTTTTAGTTTTATACAAGGAAAAGACAAGAGCCAGTCTTCAACATTCATTTTCTAACACTCAGTATAGTCATTTTACTTTACAGCTAGAAAATACTAAAAATTAGAGAAGAGAAATATATATATATATCCTTACCGATAATAATATTCCTGTTGCTTTTGCTTAAACACAGCAGCTAAATATGAAAATATATCTACAGAACACAAGTAGACCCCACAATTTATTAAATTGCTGACAAAAGTTGAAGGCTTCTCAACATAATGCTAATCTGAAAAAAAAAAAAAAAAAAAAAAAAAAAAAAAAAAATTATTATTATTTTTAACCATTAAAAAAATGAAAAAAAAAAAAAGGTCCCTGCTTTAATTAAATTTTATTAAAAATAACACAGTAATTTCACTGACATCATCACATTCAATGATCCTGCCGCCTCTTAACTGCATATCACCAACCACAAAAAGAAGTATATTTTAAATTTAAAACCAAAAGAAGGACCTGGTTTTAAATGTAGAAATTCCATAACATAAATCAAAAATAATAGTTAAAATAAGGTAAAATGTAACTAAAATTTATACTCAAGCAAAGCTAACCTGAAAACACAAGAAAATGTGACATACATCTGCACAGAAACACATTTCATACGAATACTTTAGCAAAAAGCTTAAATCACTCTACATTGTTTAGCTCTCCACGTATAGCTCGATATTCATACTCTCCAGTCTTAAATATTGCATTTTTTAAACATTTCTCTGTCTACATTTATTACTATTCACGTTTTTAACAATAATTCTTAAATAATACAAGTATTTTAATTGCTTTCTGATGTTTCAAATTATACATAATATGGTGCACACGATTTATTCAGACATAATTTGCAAGTTAAAAATGCATAACAGTTTTACTTTTAGATGAATTTAATTTTTAACCAATATGTTACAAATATTTTTACGGAAATTCTGTAATAAAACAGAAAATATAAAGTTTGTATAAAAGATAAACCTATTTTGCTTTAATATTAAATTACATTCATGGCAAAAAGTTAAGTATTTGAAATGAAAAAAAAAAAAAAAAAACATTTTAGCTATTTATAAATATTACAAATTGTTTATAACTACCTGAGAAATAAATCTAGTACTGCTACTTTTAATCACTTATTATTATTATGCAAAGTTTTTTTGTGTGTGATTGATTAACTGAAACATGACCCAAAATATAATCCAACTTGACGCACTCTACAGAAAATGCAGTTTTCTTTAAATATTTTCATTCTTCCTATCTTCAAACGACACATCGTGCAAAAAAAAAAAAAAAAAAAAAAAAAAAAAAAATGACTTCTAGGCTCCTTTTTTAAATAGGATTTGGTGGCATACGGGTGTCTAAATCCCTTTCTACAAAATGAATATAACCCATGCTAGCAATGCAATGTTTTGATGGAATTGTTTTGAAACTTTTACACAAATTCTCTACAATGAAATGGACTCTGTAGAGACACCTATTGTCGAAACAATGAACACTGTACACAGAAAGAGTGGGATACAGACTATGACCATAACATAGTAAACATAAATAAAAAAAAAATTAAATATGTAAATTTACTTAATTAGACAAATGCAGCAATACTTCTGTTTAATGCAAATTTACAAGTGACATCACAGTTGAGAGCATAGACAGAACTTCAAAAACCTGTATAAAAAACCAATTCGAATAGGTAAATCCACTTAATTAGACAAATGCAGCAATACTTCTGTTTAATACAAATTTACACGCGAAATCACAGCAGAGAGAGAAGAGAGAGAGAGAACAACCATGCAACATTCGTACTGGCCAGCACTAGGGAGGGTACCTCGGTAAATTTGAAATCGCACAAACCTTTAGCATTACTGACTGAGCCTTTTGTTAATGAAAAGAGGACGCAACAGAAAAGAGCCAAAATCTAAATTACCAAACTGCCACAATATTTAGTACCTTTAACAGGGTTCGTAGCCACACTTTAGTTAAAAAAATAAGCACCTATAAGCACTTTTCAAGCACATTTTAAGGAAAAAATAAGCACCTGTCTAATTACACTATACACAACTGCATAACCTAAAAAAAAAAAAATTAGACTTGTAACTTAAAATATGAGCAATGCAATATTTGTTAAGAGAATGAGCACCTCAACCATGGAAAACAATTTTTTTTTTAATTTTAAATGACAGTTCAATTTACAGAATTAGTTTATAATGAGAGAAAAAAAAAACAACTATGCAGAACTAAACTATATTACAAGATTTAATGATGAAATTTCAGTTCAAAATATAGAAAATAAATAAGCCATATTAATTGCATTCATTTGGCACATAATAATAAATACAATTTATTTTTCGACTCATATTAATATTTAAATAATTTAACTTAAATCAAAATTCTGAACATTTTCTAAATTTTCATTGCATAACAGTTTTCCTTTAACATATACTCCAAGCAAAGTAATTTAAGTAAAAAAAAAAAGGCACATTTCTGAAATCAGAAGGTGAGAAATTGCTTCATGCAGTCATCCTTTAACAGTAAAAGCTTAACTAACGTGCATACTCGGAAATTGCCGAATATTCCGGATAGTAACTGGAAAAAGAGGAGTGGGGGAGATTGTAGCCGTTCTTTAGATTTCTCAGCTAAATAAAAGATTTTGACATTTTGATATGTGCATCATATAAAAATAAACCAACGGAACTGAGAAATATTCTGCTTAGAAAGCACAGTAAACATAAGCAAATCTCAGACTGAACATCAAAATTAATTATCTCTGCAAAATACAGCAAACGTTATTGCGCAATACATGCGGGGTAATTCTTCCACATGTGATATTACGCAATTGGAATCAACAGCTGCCGGTATTCGAAGAATAAAGAACTAAATAAAGGAAAAGAAAGAGACTTATTAATCTGGGGTGTTTCTGATTCTAATTTTCAACAGACAGTCTTAAATTTCCGGAAGAGAATCAATCTTCGCTTAGGTTGGGTAGACCGCAAAAACGTTTTGTCCTATTCAATCGAGATTGGACAGTGACAAACCTCTCAACCTCCATACTGTATAATGTATTAGCAGAAAAAAAAAATGAAATTATTTTGACTATTCAATTACTTTCCTTTTATTCAAGCCATTCCAAATATTATTCCTTAGAAATCTGTGTAAAAACATGCCCATTTTTTGGAAGTTTATACTTCACCAGTTACTGAAACTATATTATTATAAATATTCATGCATATACTCATAATATAAGCATAACGATCATAATAAACATGAATATGAACTGACCATGTGGAACGAGAATGCAAATTATTAAAATCTTAATAGAAATTCAAACGTGTGTATTTGGGTGGGAGGACCGAATTGGAATTTGGAAAGAATACCAAATGTACCGGAATTTTCTACCGTTTTCGCAATTTTTTGACCAATAGAATGACGTGCACCTGTCTGTACTCTCGCGCGCACCATAGGTTACATTAATGCAGAGAAAGGGGGAAAGCAATTTCCGGGAGTATGATTCACCATCTGACGTTGCATATAAGGAATAAAAGTTGTTTATTTAGTTTCGGCTTTGGTACGGGGAAAAAATGCGCGTTCATTAAAAAAAGGATTTAAAAAAAGCACTAAAAGCAAAAAATAAGCACTAAAAAAAAATAATAAGGGGCTTTAAAGAAAAAGTAAGCACCTATAAGGGCCTTTATATTTTATTTTCAAATATAAGGACTTATAAGCACTTGTATGGACTGCTACAAACCCTGTTTAAAAATAAAAAATTTAAAAAAAAGAAAAAGGAAATTTTAAATGTAAAGTATTAAAACTAGAGCAATTTTTCTAAAAGTTATGAAAAATTCATCGAAACTGATAGATAAGACTTAAATTTTGCTAATAAACTCTAACCAAAAAATTTCCTCTACAGCCAGGCACCATCGATCTCCCCCCCCCTAAATTCTATTTTAGAAATTTATTTCTATTTGACTGGACCAAAGGAATGCTATAGATAGGCTCTATTGTTTCTAGTAGCACTGAAACAGAAGTAGATGAAATCTCTACAAAAATAAGTGGATTCCTCCAGATTTATAGATTTTAATTAAAGCAGATTTTTTCTCCCAGAATATAACCCCTTTTTTAAATGTCTTATTCATACCTCTTTTCTTTCCCTATGCAGAATTTCCAGATAACAGTGAGTGGAAGCATCGACTTTATGAATTTTGTACTTCAAACTTCTTGAAGGTTGTGTTTTTGTTGCATTAGATCAAAGTACAGCTTTTAATATTAAGGATGAAATTCAAGAAACCCCTTATTTTCAGTGCAAATAGACTGTACTTTGTTAATAACACTTAATTGAAAGATTATGTGAAAATGCAATAAGCTATTCTGAAACTTTTGTTCCGTAGTGGCCATTGTTTGTTTCTTATTCATATCTATTTGCAATGGCTTTGTTACGAGCTGCATGGTTTGAATTCTATATTCATCCAAAATGTTAATTCTCACTTTGAATGGCAGTCTCACTAAAGAGATGCAAATGTCATACCACAAAAATACCAAAATTACACTCAAATCAAGGACTTTTGGACTGTACAAAACCCTGAAGGGTAGATGTTACATATTTGTTAAATGTACTTGGTTAATGCTAAAGAAAAGTATATTGTCTTCGCAATACAGCATTGAAGAAACAGACTTAAATTGGATTGTTACAGTCATGTAATAATAATTAAAATATTATTAATAAAGATGAATACATCTTAAGATTTCATTATTTTAGTTATAATAAAAATGCAACAGCATGGTAAACACCTTTAAAACTGGATTATGCAATGATAAAAATTTCACATTTCTTCATCCACAATTATTTTGTGCAAAATATTTTAATTAAAGTTAATTCTCATCCTGTATTACAGGAATTTTTCCTCAGTAACACATTAAATAAGATTTAGAAACAAATATATCTTCATTGATTTATTTAGTTACTTGCTGATAAGAAACAGGCTTTTATAAATGAAATTAAATAATCTTATTAATTGCCAATTGACAAAAACATGTTTTTTATGTTTCTGATTTTTAACTAAAAAGTGTCTATTTTTAACTAAAAGCAAATAGCTGAAAACAATAATACTTTTCTAAAGCGTTAAAAACTTTGGGTACTTTACATGCAAGCTAAGATTGAAACCCAGACCACAGCACATCTACATATACAATTATACGGGGCACTCATAAGACCTTTATTTAATCCCACTAAAACATGTTTAAACAGAAAAATTTTTATAC